TCTGTTCTTCTTTATAGAGTCAAGAAAATCAAATTGTATTCCGGGATGAGGAGTAACCTTGTGGTGAACCTCGTTAAAAATTCCGTTGTGTTCTTTACTTTCTGCACTTTCTTTCTTTTTGATCGTTTCCAGCTTCCCCTGTTCTGCATCTCTCTGGTTCTGGTCAGCTTGGCTCAACAAAGAAGAAGAACAATTTCTCTCTTTCTTCTCTGAGTAGAGATTCGGGCCTATATTGAAGTTAAGCCTAGTGTCTTTCCATTATGATCTGCGGGCTTATCTTTAGACGGCCCAACCGAAACCAGCTCTTACAAGATGGGTTAAAATCATATTGGTCTAATTAGGGTTGATTCGTTTGCTGACTTCTATCAGTCAAAATCCCTAATTGTTCTCATCCCATTTATGTTTCACGAAATCATTTCTCTCTTACAATGTTTTTTTTAAGTGTCTTAGTGGTCGTTTGGAAGTTGCGATTGTTAAATCGATGTATTGTTGAGAATGCATGTATAATATTATACATGTATTGTCGAATTTGATGCATTGTAGAATACAACGTTTGGTATGTGTGATTGTTTATGTCGCATCAACTAAAAGTTGAGACAAAACAATCTCAACTCAACAATCTCAACAATCACAACTAAAAATCGAGATATAACAATCACTCAAAATGAGTGATAGTTTCTGTCACATCATAGAAACAATTCATGTATTGTTTCTGCTAACAAAACAAAAAAAATGATGCATTGTAAACAATATATGCATAATGACAATCCCAACAAAACAATCGCAACTACCAACCGACCCCTTAAAGTATATGTTTAATCTATGGTTCAGAGCTGCGAGGATATGGATGAACTTTACTTTAGTAAAATCAGTTGTACGACACCAAAGCCAAAATTTGGACGTTCTCTCGACATTGATATGCTGGTGCATGCTCAGATAAAGCTATTAATGACGGGCGACGGAGTGCTGTACGGAGCTGGCGCGAGAGGCAATTGGTCTATAGACGGCAAACAGCCAACAGACCGTTTTATCAATTTCTTGCCAAGTCCGCATAAATAATCGATAGTCGAAACCTGGGCGACGAACACAGTGCAGTGAGGAACACAGTGGACAAAATATGTATAACCTATATTTCTGTATCGGTAAGTGTTCATATTTTGAAATTTTTTCTAAAATATATTTATCATGCAAATTATAAGCGATGTTAAAATATCACAGCGAAAAATCATACACGATTCCAACTCATCTTGTTTGGAAGTGTTTTTTTTACTTTCCTTATTGCAGTAAGTGCTCTTTCAACAATTGAATGATAACCGATAGCTAGCAACAAACACTCGTAAGTTTTTTGTTTATATTAAACTCACTTATAAAATATATGAATTAAAAGCTCAATATAGATCACACAATATTAGTTTTCGTAAAATTATCTACAATAATATAGAGATCTCGACATCTTGTATTCAATCAACAATCACATTAATATAAAATTACTGCACATGTTTTGGGCCAAGGTGGTGCAAATGGCCCACCTTGACCACATGTGGCTTAGCCACTGATCTGACCCCTATAGACCTGGCAATCGGGTCGGGTTGAGTAATTTTGGGTTGGGGATTTTGGTTATGATTCGGGTCATGTTTGGTTGGCTGATTTTGTGTCAAATATTGACCCAACCCATTCGGTTTCGGTTCGGGTTACAAGTCATTTTGGGCTATGAGCGTTCTCAGAAACAATATCAAACATGCTTCATATTTTCTTAAAGAACACAAATTTCACATATGCATGACAATAGTTTATCTAGCACATGTTAATTAACATATTCTCTAATCCTCCCACACTAATGAAATGAAATACAAATTGCGCAAATCGTCAAAAATAATCATAAGAGCAATACTACTACAAGAAACACAAGATATTTGATTATCCTTAAACTCCAAACATGTCATTCTTATCCTTGTGTTTTTTTAAACATCTCACAAATTTATGTGTGATTTTATCATTTTGTGAGTGATATATAAAATGGAAAGGGTCTAACAGGTCGACCCACTAACCCACCTAACACGACCCAAAAAATCACGAGTTATTTGGTTCGGGTCAATTGGATTTCGGGTTACAATTTTTTTTTTTACTTTTTGGGAGATTTCGGATCGGGTCAACAAGTCGGGTTGTAATTTGCCAGGTCCTAGACCCCTGTCCTCAAAATTACAAAAATAATTTTTCATATTTTTAACCCCCTCCCAACCAATTCCTCCCATGAGTTTTATCCTATAATATCCAATCAAAATCAACGAATTGGCATATTTTTGTCAAAACTAATAAAAATTAAAATAAATTTGTAATTACATGATTTTTATACCGAGTTAGCACTTAATTATGAGCATGTCAAGTGAGCAGTTGGATCCCCGTTTAACAGAAGAACAATAGTCTTTTAACAGTAAGGGCCACAACCGGAAGATATTTATATTTGAATGACTATGTTAATTAGGAAAATAATAGCATTGGGATCATGATAGGAAAACCTTAATAGTTCTGGTACCAAAATTTGGACCGTACCGAATAAGAAAAAAAGTATTGAGATCATGATAGGAAAAATAGTATTAGGATCATGATAGGAAAACCTTCACATCACCGGATCGCAATGGACCAAATCGGATTGAGTATAATACGGTCCGGTCCTTGGTGCACATGATTTTACAATTATTGAAGAAATGATGGACTGAATTGATATTTGAACCGGATCGAACCGGACCAAATGGACCGAACGTAAAGATGGTCCGGTCATTAGTTTTAAGATGTTTTTCACTAATGAACCGCGAGTCTCATGAGTTTGGTTCGGTCCGGACCAAACTGTTGAACACCCTATGCCAAATATACCATCTAAGGCTACCAAATTCTAGACATGAAATTTTTGCCATCTAAGGCTCTCATACAATATATGCCAATAGCGTATTAGATTGTTCAAACTTGAGAGAGGTTATTGGTGGTCCAAATATGAGGTAAATGAGTAGAGTTTGATAGACTTGTATTCATATCCATTTATTTGAATTGAGTTTGAGATTTTAATATATCGATTTGGGTTTGTATATATACCATATACAAATTACAGTTTGGGTATCTAAACTTAAAGTTTTTACGATTTAGTACCTGGATTTAATGTTTTTTTTTTGCATATAAAGTCCTCCAAATATTATGAAAAATTATATTCTAGTATCTAACAATTTCGCGCCTTACATTTTGATACCTAAACTTTTTAAGTTTTATAAACATGTTTAATTTTTTATGTGTAGTTAAAACAAAATTAAATTAATCGACATCCATACACATCTGATCGTACTCATTTAGAATATGAAAGCAATATCCATACATTACCCAAAATCATCTAAACATCTATATGGTTTACTTGAATTGGAGTAAAATTGACCTTGAGTACGTATATGTCAACGATTTAAATAGGTGGCATTATTATGAATGGTGGAAACACCCTGTAGCTAGAAGCTGAGAGAAACTTCACCATCATCGATCGACCCCTCAGTCACACACACGTGCAGACATGCGGCAGCAATTAATTCCTACTTGATAGTTTAGCCAATTGAAGTCACAGGAGTAATTTGGAGACAAGATCTAGGACTAGGAGGGGGGATTTTTGCTTCGACCAGTACTCTTGCTGTACTTCTCCAGCATCAAATTCTCCAAACATCTTTTTTATCTTGAAAGCAACGTAAGAAAAAGTCTAACCGCGTCGTGCTACCCAGTTAAATATTTGCATGTTTTGTTTGTTTGTTTTTTTTTTCTATTTTGTAAAAACAAGAGAGGATGGATGAATAGTTGCCTTCTTTCTGAGGTCATGGAAGTTTCTATATTGGTTTTACCTGGATGGCAAAATTCTTCTTTGTCTTATTAACTTACACCCCAATTTATTTTCGACGGATTGTTAATGGTGAAGCACCCTATCACGCCTCATTCAAGGTGCATGAAACCGTACCGTACCGGAGGTTCAACCACGAAATACCGGTATTAAAGGCTAAATCGGTAGGCGGTATTTAAAGGTACTACGGTTAAACCATGATTTTACTATAAAATATCCTACCACTGATATTTCCCGATACGGGTTCATGGACCACTATCAAGTAAAACTTTTCAACGTTTTATCAAACATGCCCCTCTACTATTTTTTACATCAAACATGCCCCTGTAATTTGGAAAAATTATCAAACATGCCCTTGAGTTGAAATTTCCATTGAAAAAATTGACAATCATGGTTGAACCGAGATTTAGACGACCTGACATCGATAAATGGAAGGAAAAATGTCAGTTTTGACTATTGTTTTATTTCTCTAGGTCTCGTCAAAGTGAAATTATTAGAATTATTTGGCTATACAAAAGAAAAAAAAACTCTAAAGTGAAATTATTAGGGATATTTTAGATATTTGGGTCGCCCAAACCAAAGTTCGGTCTTGGTTAACAATATTTGGATGAAAATTTTAACAAAAAGGCATGTTTGATAAGTTTTCCAAAGTATAAGGGGATGTTTAATGTAAAAAATAGTAGAGGGGCATATTTGATAAAACATCATAGTAGAAGGACATATTATACCTATAATATCCATCATTTTCCCTAAACAATCCAACAAGGATAGATCATAACCATTTGAAATTGTTTGGTCGAATTTCGAGGCCAGCACTAATAATCCACAAACATCACTAATAATTGTTTGGTCGAATTTCAATCGTCAGTCATCATAAAATAGGAGTGATCTTTAGACTTGATATATACTCTTTGGTATTATATGCAATTAAGTATTGTACAATTAAGCAAGTCGGTCTTTTTTATTTTAAATAAATGAAAGCCCATTTCTTGCCTAATCCTAGCGACCTTTTCCTTTTATATATAAAGACACATGGCAGGCCTCCCTTCTCATCAATCATTTCATCATTTGCTTCCAAAACACATACCTAGTTTCTCTCTCTCTCTCTCTCTCTCTCTCTCTCTATTCCAAAACCACTATGGAGCTTGCTCTCCAATTCAATTCCCACCTTTTCCAACAAACCCACAAAGCACCATTCCTTCCAAACCGGCTCAACTCCATTGTCTCCTGCCGAGCCACCATGACTAATAGCAGCACTGGCCGAAAGAGCAATTTGTACCAAGTGCTATCACTCTCATCGGAAAGTGTTGGGCCCGATGAGATAAAGAAGGCCTACAGAAAGCTGGCCCGACAGTACCACCCGGACGCCCGACCCGCATCCGGAAAAGAGGAGTCGACCCGTCGGTTCTTGGAGATCCGAGAGGCCTACGAGACGCTGTCCGACCCGGCCTCCCGTCTAGTCTACGACTACCAGCTCAGCACGGCCAACTACGTCGGGAGGCCGCGTCGGAGCGAGTGCTCGTCGCCGTCGTCGAGGGCGGTGTGGCAAATGCAGCTTCATGGGCTGAAGGAGCGGTCCCGGGTCAGGATGGAGAGAAAGAGTTATAGTTCTTAAAACAAAATAAAATGTTTTTACTTCTTGTTTTTGTACACTATGGAGACAATATTTGTTTCTTTGGTTTTTGGGGCAAAGGGGATGCTTGTTTTTGTTTTTGTTTTTGTGTGTGTGAGGTCTGAGGAATATGATGATATGACCATCTATGGATTCTTTGATTCGTTTTTTTTTCTTCTTCTGTATATTTGTTTATGAATTATGATTGTGCGGAAAATGTAAGATTCATATTTGAATTAGTATTGACAGTATTTCCCATGATTTCATATTGATTTCTTGTTTAATTTTTGTAGTTGTAATGATTTGTCTACACTAGTATTGATGTTTTTGAAGTGACAGTATTATATTCCGGTTATGGTTTTGGTTTTATTTTTTATTTTGGTGTTCTGATAGCAGTGACGGATCCAGGATTTTGGTATAGGTGTATCGGCCAATAAAAAAAAATTAAGTAATTAATTAATTTAAAATAAACATTAATAAATTTATACATAAAGTTCATCAATTTTATTATTTTTTAAGTGAACCACAACGAGTTTTCATATTCTGAAAAAGTTCTTAATTAGATTTTCTCATTAGGTTGCAAATCAAATTTTTTTATGTACACAACTAAAAAATTATTCATAAATTGATCACTCAACTTATACCAAAGAATTTCTCTATTACACTCATATATGGAAAATGTCATTTTGTATAGTGATGGCAATTTCAACCCGCCCCGCGGGTATTACCTGACCTGACCTGCGATGGGGCTGGTATTACCCGACCCGCAGTAGCGTGGGGCGGGGCATGGGTATCTACTTCCGACCCGCCCTGCCCCGCCTCGCCCCGTTCTAGACTCATTTTATCTCAATTTCTTACAATATCTATACATATTTCTCCTATTTTGACTTTTCTTCAACTAGTTAGAGTCAATCTTTCAACTTGTTAGGCTCAATTATTCATTCTATTATCAATATTTTTCATTTTTAAAGTGCTTTTCCCTATGTTTTATTGTAAAAAGTAAAATTTACTTGTATTTTTTTGAGCAACATGTAAGAGTGGGTCGACCCGTACCCCCGCACCCCAGCGGGTTTTACCTGCCCCGACCCGTAGTAGCGTGGGGGCGGGGCATGGGAATTGAGGTACCCGCCCCGCCCCGCCACATTGTCATCACTAATTTTGTAGCTTGCAGTTACAATAAGTAAAGTCAACACTAATTTAATATGAGAATGCTGTTATGAGAAGCTGGAAGGGTGGCCACAGGCGTCAATGTGTAAGTTTGAATGATAATGTAGATGTTGTCGGCTCGATGCCGATAATTGGATGGTGGCGACAGGCGTCAACATAGAAAGAAATAGCTAAACTAGAAAGCAAGTAGAAAGTTAACTTAAGAAGAATCCATGGAAGAAGTTATGGGGAAAGACAATATGAAATTCACTATCTAATTACTTGACTCAACCAGATTATTAATCAATTTAATTCTCATTCAATTTATTGAGATTATCTCTAAGGTAATAGCTATCTTTCTAAATACTCACTACGTAGTAAGCAGTCAATTAATTGTTTACTCTTGTACAACTAACTAATTATCTACCTAATCGAAAATCCTATAACTCCTATATTTACATATTTCAATAATATTATCACAACAAATTTTTTGTAATGTTATAAGGTTAAGGTGTGTCGATTACAATTATTGGAGGTGTGTTGGAGGTCCCGTGTACGAATTTTTTACACCGAAAAAATGTGGGTTCCTCAAAAACATTTCGGAGCAAGGTGTGTCGCCGTAGGGCTGGGAAAATAGACCAGACCGTTAGAAAAACCGTGGTCCAAACCGTACTGCACTGTTTGGTCTGGACCGTAGACCGTTAAGTATGGTCTGGTCTGGTCCATGGTCTGTATTATTTTATGTTTTGATCTCTTGGGCTGGTCTGGTCTAGACTGCGGTTTATCGGACCAAACCGTGGACCCAACCGACTTGTCAATATGTGTTAATAGCCCATTCGATCACTCTCCCAACTCCCACAACGACACCCCAAGTCTCAACCTTAATTTTGAGAATCTCGTCCGTCCTTCATTCACAACCACATTTAACCAGAGAGTAGAGATACTCGTGTCTACGTATGACATTATGTTAATGCTTATAACGTTATGGTGCAAGTTGGTATGTTTTTACTTTGTATTTTTTTATGTACTAAGATTTAGGGTATCAAAATTATTCATGCATGTTAGGATTAATGTTTTAAGGCAAATAACAATTATTTTTCTTGGTTATTCCACACCAGACCGAACTAGACCGCACATGTGTGGTCTGGACCGGACCGTATAGTCTGTGGTCTGGTCTGTGGTCTATACTTCAGCCTCTCAGTCTGGACCATAGACCGTATATATGGTCTGGACCAGACCGCAACATTTCCCAGCCCTATATGTCGGGTGACACGCCTTGCTACAAGGTGGGTCCCCTTGTCTGATAGTGGTATTGGTTGTCGGGTAGTAATAGTTTTTTTTTTAAATATGCAAAAGTAGAAATACAAAGAGAAAGGTTTAGTTTTTTTAAAAAAATTACTTTACAATAATTATGAATATAAAATTGCAATTAATTTAAATTTTGCGTTTTTTAAAATTTAAAATGTCTACTTTGTCCTTGGGCGCCACCGCAACCGCCACTATTAGGTGGGCACAATAAGCTATCCCTTATTGCCGGCCGGGCAGTTTAAGCCTGTAGTTCAAGAGAAGTTTCGTAGACATTATTTACTTCATTATTTGACCAAATTAAAAGGAGTGGGGAACACAAATTGCCCAATTTCCGGCTGTGCTTGCTACCAGCTTAAAAGGTTCGAATCCACATTATCAATGACTCCAAAACAATTCATTGTTGCATGGTTGCTTGATTTTATATTAAATGCATCGTCCTTTAGTGAAGTAGTTGTAAACTTGTAATGTCACGTCTAAATGCTCTTAAATTCTTTTTAAACACTTATCATATAGATAAATTATGTGTAACTTTTTTTTATAAGTTTGATAGAAGCCAGCGGATGATGAGCATCATCTTGAGCTAATGAGGTGGCTGGCCGGTTTGGGGAGAAATCTATAAATACTAGCTAAAATAAAATATTTTAATCATATGGTCTCTTATTATGTAGACTAACTTCATTAAGATTTATAAAAAAGACCTGGATTTTAATTTTATTAATAATAACATGTACTAAACTCCGGTCAATTCAATCTATAGATATTATTTTCTATTTGGTGTATGGGGTACTTCAACTTTCACCCCGTGCATGATAGAATCATATATATTAAGTTAGATCTACTCATTGTAGTTTAGGAAGGAGAGATCTAGGGGCGAATCCACGAATATTATATAAGGTGTTCTTTATGAAAAGTAAATTAAATTAAAAAATAAAATTTTATAGAATTCTTAAATAAGAATATATCTGACTAGTACAAGTTTGAACAAAAGTTCACGAAATGTTATCAATTTTTTAAATACCGTCACTTTCTACAGTGTGCAACAAATCTCTTTCAATATATCCTACTGAAAAATTATTCATGAACCATTCACATATTCATTTTTGAAACTTTTTTTAATGTAACCAACACTAAGAAACTCTTTCAACACTTGGAGTGCAACCGGTAAAACCAATACACATGGTCGTCAGATCGCTCCCCCATCACGCGGTTGCATGTACCACCATGTGAGAACGCGGTTTGACAGCCAGGAAGGGTCAAACCACGCGTTCCACAGGAGGTTTGTCTCTTAACCGCGCCTTGGAGGCGCGTTTTGGTTTATAACCGCGCATTCGAGGTGCGTTTTGTGTGGAAGGGTGGTATTTTTGGAAATTGTTGAGTATGGGTGGTATTTTTGTAATTTTTTTTATAGTGGTAGTTTTGGATTTTTCCCAAAATACCCGACCAGGGGTAAAAATACCCGGCCGGTAAAAATGCTAAGGAGGCCTGGGAAAAGCTGTTTTGGACGGCCAGAAGGCAGAAGGGCTCCCGGCCAGAGAGCAAAAATACCCGATCGGGTATTCTTGACTTCGACCGGGTATTTTCCCCTGTACCGCTGCGTTGCGTTTCGAAATCCCCGGCCGGGCACCCGAAATACTGGACCGGTGATTCTGACCGGGTCGCGAATGCAGGCTGTTAAAAGCCTGTTTTGTGCGTTTTTGGAGGGGGGGAGCTGAGTTTTGGATCCCAAACACCCAAGGGACGAACCAAAGAGAGAGAGGGCGATTTGAGGGCATTCTTGGAGTGGAATTGGAGGATTTCTTCGCCTTGGAAGCTCGAGGAACAAGCCCGGACTTGAAGACTGATCATCTGAAGATTCTTACTGCAGTCTCTCTCTTCTCTATGGAGTAACTTCCCTTCACTTAGGTTTTGAGGAACCCTAGCTATGTTTGTTTGATTGGATGATTGTATGAGTACTCTTACTTGATAATATTGAGTTCATATTCAATCTATGCATGTTTTCATGATTCAATTATGCTTTAGTCGAGATTATAGATTCTGCTTTGATCCTATGAGAGCGAATACCCGATTAGGTCAATAGAGCACCATGGATTGATAGTATTGGATCGATTGCTTTAGTCGAGTGTCGATTCACTGCTTTTTATCGTTTGAGAACCTCATTTAATGGAGTAAGTCTAGTTCAGAACCCTTGATCAGTTGTTCTAGAGAAGGATACGTCCCTCTAGGCAATCGATCAAGAGGGCCTTGATCCTTTAGTCGAGATTCAAGGTCTAGTCAAGGATTCTCCGCATTGTGAATGAAAGTGAAACAAGTTAGAAATCATCAATCATTAATCCGGCTAGTGGCTAGGGGGAATCATACTTAAGTGAGTTCCCAACCTGTAATTAGATTAACTTTAACTGTAGTTTGTTAGAGTAGTTTTGGGTTGTTCCATCTTAATCTGGTTTGCTAGATAATAAACTGAAGCTGAGTAATAGTAACTCTAGAGACCCATGGATTCGATATTTATTACTTGAGCCACTATACTGCAGTCCCTTTCATTGGTTACACTT